ACCTAAATATATAGCTAATGCTTCATAACTGATATTTGAGGTCAGGGGTCCTTAATATTGGATATCACACTCTGAACAGGGCCCTATTTCAGGAAGCCGGTTTAGAAAACTCAGAGTGAAAAACGATACTCAGGGTTGAGTAACCCCGAACTGTCCAACTCGGAATATTCGGTTTCAGAAAGGCTGATAACAATTAGTTCAATCAACGCGGAGTTGCTTTAACCCCAAGTTAAGCGCGCGCACGAGGATACATAAAGCCCTGATTAGTGGAGCACAGATTAAGCGAGTCACCATGGAGACGGAGGGAAAGTCAATGTATCTTACAGCGCTTGAGGCCGAAAATTCTGATGGCAGCATATGCTGATAACATGCAAATTCCGCGGAAAAAAAGTAACACAGCCTCAGCTGCAAAAGAAAGGGAGCATGCATGGCAAAACATAGCCGACAGAGTCAATGCGTTAGTGTTAATTTAAACATTGATCGAGGGATTTCCACCCATTTAACACGTTATTTTATTATATTTTATTTTATTTCATATTTCATACATTTTATTTTGTGATGTGATGTGAGCGCAGGTGCAACCCAACAGGCCCCAAACGTTCCTGGCAGCAAGTAAAAATGAAATGTAAAAATATAGTCCAAACAGGTGAGGTGTAATTGTATTATGAGCCATAGTGCTTGGTCTGTTTGTCCCATGTAAATCAATTGCAGTTAGAGGCTACATTAATTTCCCCTCTGTAAGCACTTATTGAAATTATCTGAGCACATTACAAGTACATATTTGCTTACTCTGTATGCTCAAATGTGACCCGTTATAGCCAACAGAAAAAAAGCAGAGGTCCGAAAAACAGGTGGGGGTCCTCCACCACCACCACTCACAGAGCCTGGCCACTTGGCTTCCACATTTGTGATAATGTTGGCAGCATCATATATGATCTTCACAGTGCAGAGAACACAAATTAGCATCCATTACTATAATGACATAATTTGTTAGTTTGAAATGCTACAGGGAACTATGTACCTGTACATTAATGCTGTGGAAAGACTTCCTGTTCACATAGTCTCCTTCATTTACTGAAGGAGCAATGATTGGAATGTGAGTGCCATCTATACAGCCAATCACGCCTGGGAACCGTGAGAATACATGTAAAATTTAAGTAGTAGTTCAAGTATCACCACATCATGAATTAAGTTTCGTTCATCCTGATACCTGCAATTTTGTGGCATCCCGCTTTGATAAATCTTGTGGGTCTGTGACCGGGGAACACCACAAACGAGTACAGGAGACGTTTCAGTGCAACTGTAACATTCCTGACTGCCCGACAGACGGTAGCCTTGGAAACGTGCTCAGCGTCACCAATATTATACAGAAAGCTCCCGTTTGCAAAAAACCGAAGTGCAATACAAATAATATGTACAGAACTGAGAGCATGTCCGCGATGTGTCACATGAGCAATATTAGGCCTGAGGATGTTATTCAAATAAATTATAGATTGTGCTGAAAAACGGTAACGTTCACACAGACAATCATCAGGAAATGATAAAATGTCCAAACGCGCTCTAATCACTCTCTCCCGGCGGAGAGCTCTGCGGAGAATTTGGGCTTCAACATCTACTGGCTCTTCAAGGAAGGAGCACGCCATGTCTGACACTTCCTACAGTCAGGTTTCTGACAAAGAGGCGGAGACAGTCAGGGTTAGTTGTAGTAAACCTGCTAGGGGGCAGGTTAGCTTCACGGAGTGTGTCGTCATAGTAACTCGCTCAAGATTAATCTAAACTCGCTTTGTGAAACCGAAAACCCAGAGTTTTCGTTCACTCAGGGTATACTTACTCAGAGTTTCCACTAAACCGGCTTCCTGAAACAGGGCCCTGGACACCAAATTGCTTTCTATCCAATATTCACACTTTGATGGATTGATCAATATGCCGCCCACACATTTGACTTGCAGACGGGGGTCAAACCATCAACCTTCTGATTTTTCGATGATCTGCTCTACCTCCCGAGTCACAGCAGCCTCGTGTGTTTTAGACATCAGTGAAGCACATTTGTTCCATCAGTATGTTTTCAATCACACGTGAGAGTAACAGTCTAACTCGGGGATAGGGCTGCTCAATTAATCGAATTTTAATCACGATTACGATCTGGGCTTTCAACGATCATTAAAAATGACTGAGCCGATTATTAGCCCCTCCCTCATTTATCCGCGACACCTTAAAGGCCGGTCCGTGAAAATATTGTCGGGCATAAACCGGTCCGTGGCGCAAAAAAGGTTGGAGACCGCTGATTAAGAGGACCCGAGGGAAGCTCGGAAAGCTAAGCAGAAGTTATTTGGAGAGTGACTGCCGTTGGTTGAAAAGAGAGTTTAAAAAAAAAAAACTTCAGTGGTGTTGCACACTATTTTATATTATTTTTTTAAAGTCATTGTTAACCCTTTAAAGCCGGTCAGAGCAGCACGCTCCGTTTTGCGTAACTATTTTTAAATCCCTGTAGAACCTGAACCGTGTAAGCTAGCGCAATAATTTGTTTTGCATATGAAATAGGAGTTGTACTTACATCTGATGCCATCAGCTTGTCCTCGGTCACGGTTTCGTTCCACATATAGCTTTGCAAAAATTGCATAAAAAGCGCTTGCAGGAACAAAAACATAATATTCCAGAAACACGCTTTGCCGATCCGATCAGCTGTTCGTAACACTTCCCACAGTGAAATGATGCACCTGCTGTTTTCTTTGCAAATTTGCATCATAGGATTGTTTTTTGTTTTTCCTGCAGTATATAAAAATTGCTGTATCTCCAAAATAAAACTATGAAGACACTCAAAATAAATTTCCTGTTGTTGTAAACTATTTTTTGCAACTTTATTGTATTTAAAGTTTTGAGGGATAAGCCTCTTAAATTTCTCCAAGTAGAAATATATGTAAACAAAACAAAAGCGATTTTCAATTTTTTTTTGTAGTTTATTGCACTTTTTTGTAATTTATGTAATTACTATGGACTTAATGCATACATATTATTAAAATATGGGCTATAACAGTTGTATTGATGTATAGCAACTTGAAATGCTCCTACAAATGGCACTACAGCATGTAAAAAAAAATATATAAGCTCTGGTGGACTTGGTTCTATAGTAGGTCTTAAAGGGTTAAATAAATATCGTCAAATAATCGTGATCTCAATTTCAGTGAAAATAATCGTGATTATCATTTTTGCCATAATCGAGCAGCCCTAACTGGGGATCATGAAAATGTTTCATCAATGTCACAGCTGCGACGGCAGTCGTGTGGAGAGACGATACCAAATGCAAGCGCAGATGAAGGATTTGTTATGATTTAACTTTACTTACAGAGGGGCAAATCTAAATACAAACAAGAGCTAAACATAACATCAGCTACACTAAAAAACCTAAACTGGAATGACTAACTAAACAATTCTAAAACGCAGACAGAACACAGGGCCTGCAAGCAGCAATGACATGGAGCCCAACATGCAAAAATTATACATTAATGACGCAGATGGAGAAGTAACAATCAAAAGAAAACATAGGGTTTAAATACACACAGGAGCAATCAAAGAATGGAAGACAGGAGGGAAACACAGCTGGCAGAAATCAGAGCTGACGAGACAAGGAAGCAAAACATGACAACACACAGGACAGGGTTCTATCAAAGTAAACCAGGAAATACAACAGGAATGCATGAGCTTAATACGAGACATGTAGGGAGGCAATAGGGAGGGAACACAGAGACCAGTGACCATAATGAGTGTGGATGTGGAAGCTGCTGCTCTGTGAGCGTGGGAAAGTTTCAAATAAATACAGGGTCATGAGTGGCCACATGGGGGCGCTGCTGGGCGCTTTTTGATCTATTCAAAAATACATTGATCCTTCAGTCTGCTGGGTCTGAGCAAACACAGTAAAATCGCAGCATTGGAAATATGATAAATCTGAATATTGCAGAAAAAATGAAATTTTATTTACACAAATGAAGGAGAGTTGTTATTCTCTCCTGATTTACAGTTTATTTACAGACACACTTAATTTACAATAAATCTGTGTTAGCATGTGTGCTGTTAGAGCAGCTTCTTTCTGTCACACCCAGAAAAGACTGAAGTCCATCCTGAGCCTGTAAAACGTCTCTGTCGTTAACAGTTTTTGAAACAAAGCCCAGAGTCCTTCTGTCCTGAACTGTAGAAGTTAACCATTGATTTTACCCTCTGCCATGATCACAGCTTTACTCCACCTGTCTGACTTCTTCATGTGTCTGTGTCACATAAAGTGACTGCTTCTTCTTCTTTGTTTGTCTTTGTGAAGCTTTACATTTAAAACGAGGCATCGGTGCTTCAGTAAAGCCTTTATTTAGATCCTGTGTGGAGCTGCACGACCAACATGTGCCTTTTAGCTTTGATTCAAAGTGTTTCATTAACAGCATCACATTAACTGATCTGGAATTAAAGACATGTTTACACAGGGTGAGGCTGTTCACTTATTTAATGAGACTAAATGAATGAAACACATCAAACCTGCAGCTGGTTTAAAGTGTTTTATTGGCTCTGACTGTGATTTTAAATAAATGTGCTGAAAAGCTGAAGTTAAACCATCAGAGAGTAAAAACTAAGATCTTACAGGAAGTCCTGACCTGCTCGTCTGCAGGTTCAGTTTATCAGAGTTTGAGTTTCTGTGTGAAGGTCAAAGTTCAGTCATCACACGAGTGACATGTCATAAAAGTCACCAGGATACTCGTACAAACACTGATCTATAACATAGAAGCAGGCTTTATGTCTGTATTATTCTCTACATACAGACTGTAACACCGACCTGAAACTTTAACTTCACTCAGGAACCAAATTTACACATTAAGGAGTTTGTTTTGTTTCTTTTCAAAGTTCACACCTTATTGCTGCTTTGCTGAAGTTTGGTCGAGTTGGGCTGTAAATGATCTGCGACACAGACACACTTTATTGACCCGTCTGCTCACACTTCTCCTCACAGACTTTGATTTAACTCTGTGGATCAGCAGTGACATGGTCACAGTGGGTACTGTAGCAGTCAGCCTCATGTGCCGTCTGAAGCAGTGTGAGAGTGTCAGTAGATGATCAGCAGAGGAAAGTGAAGCTGCTGTGAGCTGATGTCCTGAAGGGCTTTTAAAGAGTCTCTGAGTTTGACAGGAACATGAAGATGTTTGTGGTGTTTGTGATCCTCCTGCACGGTAAGTACACCTTCCTCTCTCTGCTCTCATCATCAGCTTTTCTTTCATCTCTCTCTCTTTAATGTGTTGAAGTGCAGTTTCTTCTTCTTTAAAAAAGAAGAGAAGTGACAGCATGTAGTGTGGTGCAGACTCACTGCTAAAATGACTTTTACTTGTTTTCCCAGTAAGGTGGCCCAGGGTCAGACAGGGAGGAGCCACTGATTGATATTATGTTGGTAGTTGTTTGTCAGTCACAACATTGGATCAGGGAATTAGTGCAGTCTTACTAGTGATACAGATGCTCTAGGTTTACTGTTCAATTCCCCACTAAGTTTTCCATTTATCTCTAAAGCCATAGATAATGTTTATCCTTAGCCAGCAGTTTCAATTTTCCTTTAGTGCCGCCTGCGCCTTCATCTGCAGTGCACTAGCTATGAAAAGTTTATTCATATAGCACATTTCATTATGCTGACTTTTGGACCAACAAACAGTATTTCTGTCTTGTCTCTGTTCACTTCTTAAGTGTTTTGAAATATCCAGTATATCATCAGCACACCTTATTAGTTCGTAAACAGACCCATATGGAAAATATATTATTATGTATATATATTACTATTATTAGTGATAACTATACTACTACTAATAATAATAATTTCTTAAAAAACTGTATTTTTAGGAAGAGTATTTACAACAGTAAAAAAAATCCCTATTTCTGCATTTAACAGAATGCGATAAGAAAGCTGTTATAGGAACCACTGTCGAAAAAATATAATTGAACCAGTATAAATATAACTATGAGATGAACAGTGCTTGCATTTCTTTCTACTCTTTTCCCATTTCTTTCTTCTTCTTTTTTTTTTTTTTTTTTTCTTAAATATTGAAGTCCATTGTTTTCTACTGCTTCCACCACACAAAAACAATTTCCTGCTGCCATAAGCAAAGCACAAAGGTGCTGCTCAGGGAGCATTTGCATGTTCTGCAAAGTTCAACACAGTTAGCACAGTGTACATATATTCCAAATGCAGAAATGCAGAATGACAGGAAGCAGCCACCTATAGTACACGTGAAGAGTGGCTGCCAAAAAAGATTTCATTTTTTGCACCTAACACTTTTCTCCATAGTCTAGAAAGGCAGCATAATTTGCATCTTCTGGACAAAGTTTAACGCCATTGAAATTTCTTCTTCTTTCACATTCGACTGGTTCACATGAATGTTTTTATAGTAACTGAGATGGATGCCTGCTGTGCTTTTAAAAACACACAGTTTCTTTCTTGTTTCTACCAACCTTTAGAGGTTAGAGGTCATTGTACCAGCTAAAGCAGAACCTAAAACTGAAACTGTGTCTGAGTCACTGTTGATTGTCAGGCACTTGGTGTTCACTCTTTCTGTGTTAGAGTATCACTTCCTGTTACAACCCACAGTGGTGTTCTTGAGTAGCTTCCCCGTGTAGCCAATTTAATTAAAAGCTTTTCGACAACTTCTTATTTTATGGTGTCATCTTCATGTGCTTCATCCAAAGCACACTCTATGTTGATTTACCTGGTAATTATTTTCACAGTATTCACTCACTGTCTTTAGGGTTTTGCTAGCTTAGCTTAGCTCATAGCCGAATCGCTAGCAGCATTGCAACTGGCTAGCAACCATAGTCAAGTGTCTTCCAGGTGCCAGAGCAGGTGACATTGAGGGAAATTTAATTTTCCACTTCAGCTTATTAATTAACCAAAGACCAACACAGAGTTTTAATTCATTTGAAAGCCTGATGCGTAACCCTGTCCAACCCTAGCTGGAAGACATAAAAACCCACCCACCCAGACTTCATCACAGTAGATGTCTTTCTGAAAGCTCTGTAACTAAGATTAAGAATATAATCCACCCACTGTTATCATCTTCAATGCCCTGTACCAATATAGAGCAGAGCAGCTATCTGAACGCTATTCCAACAGAGGTCGATTATCTTGTTAATAATTTCACCTCCTCAATACGTGGGACTCTGGATACTGTAGCTCCTGTGAAAACTAAGGCCTCAAATCAGAAGTACCTGACTCCGTGGTATAATTCTCAAACACGTACCCTAAAGCAGATGACTCATAATCTGGAGAGGAAATGGCGTGTCACAAATTTAGAGGATCATCATTTAGCCTGGAGAAATAGTTTGCTGCTTAATAAGAAAGCCCTCTGCAAAGCCAGAACATCTTACTATTCATCACTGATTGAAGAAAATAAGAACAACCATAGGTTTCGATTTGTGATATGTAGCGTGTTTGGAGTGTGTAGTTAGTGTGTAGTGTAGATGATGAGTTTTGTTTTGTGTGTCAGAATAATGAGGCGACTACTGAATGTTACAGGTGCTGCCATAATGCCATCAAAGGCAGATTACAGTCTGACAGCAGAGCAGAGGTGTCTCCAGGTAGAAAACAGGAGGAGTGAAAGAGCTCTGCTGTCAGACCTGCAGGTATCAGGCTGTGATATTCTCCTTTATGGTGGACAGAAATTATGTTTTGGAGTGGCACAAATAATTTGTGTGGCATCTTATTGAATGCAGAACACCTGATTTTTATATAAATAGTTTGAAATGGTCATTTAAAAACGGGTAAAAGGTAAATGGATGTGAATACCTTGAATAAACTTGTGTATGGGATTTTAAAATGTACAATTTATATTTCCATTTAAAGTTATAAATTATGATTCAAGAAACATGTTTGTGTTTGTTACAGTAAAAAATATAACTTTTTCTAATCTGAGTTTGTTTTTTGTCTGATTTTAGTTGTGTTAATACAGTATGTCAAAATGAAAACATGACTGTAAATTCAGACACGTGAGGTTGTGCTGAAAAGGATGATACCAAACAAGGCAAAGGAAATAGTTTTCAAAGGTGAAATGTAGAGGTCAAATCAAAACTAGTCAAAAATGGCCAATTATACGCTGATTAAAATTTTTTTTTTACAGTAATGCAATAGTTACTTTTCCTACTAATTAATTACTTTCTTGTAAATCAGTTGGTAACTCAGTTACTTTTTTGAAGAAGTAACTAATAACTATAATTAATTACTTTTTCAAAGTAACCTGCCCAACACTGCCCCTTTTCCACACACATTTCAGGTGCGTCCAACACACATTCCTTTACATCCAAATCACCAGTGCAGCCGTATGATGTTTTCCTTCTGTCACCCCAACCGGTCGCAGCTGATGACCCTGCCCCTCCCTGAGCCTGATTCTGCCGGAGGTTTCTTCCTGTTAAAAGGGAGTTTTTCCTTCCCACTGTCACCAAAGTGTTTGCTCATAGGGGGTCATATGATTGTTGTTTTTTTTCTTTGTATGTATCATTGTAGGGTCTACCTTACAATATAAAGCGCCTTGAGGCGACTGTTGTTGTGATTTGGTGCTATATAAAATTGAATTGAATTGATGACGTTAGTAAGAGTTGTTTCTGTGCTGTGATTGGTTCTGAACCCATACTGCTACTCATCATAGAGACTGTGAGATTAAAGGTATTCTGTTGTTTATAAATGTTACACCACTCCAGGACAACTTGGTGTAAACAGCAGAACCGAGTTTATTTGGGTACTTCAGAACCGTGGCTTTCACATACAGAGCCCAAGAATACACTCTTCTTCTTTTTTTTTCGAACATAGTTTTTCTTTTTCCGTGACTGCCCCCTACTGGTGAAAAACACGTAGCAGCCAAAAATCCAAACATAGTTGAATAACACAAATACCAACAGATTTATGCAATGTTTTGGACATATTTTAGCTTTACACTTTACCAAGTGCTACATAAACAATATTTTAAAATATTTTGCTTTGGAGTGAAAGATTATAAATGTGTCTATAGCTATATTTCTCGAGTAGTGGTGTGATTACAGGACATTTAAGAGAAATGGGAAAATGCCAGACTGTAGAGAACTGTTCATAATATTTTCTAAATAAAACAAAAATAATTAATTTTTGTGAACAACAAAATACAAATTAGAACAGTTGTTGGAGATGGGATCAAGTAAAAAGGTGCAAGACTTTAACTTTTTCAACTATGGCTGGAAAAGCTCAATAAATGAACATCTACAGTTTGCAAGTGATTAAGCTGAGGCGAGTATGTGTTCAATGTCTTTGATTATATTTAGCTTTTTTGTGATTGGCTGACTACAAAATCCTGTAGGTAAAAATGGACTATGAGACAAAACTGCAGCATGCAGTTAATTTGTGTTTTTGCTTCTATGTTTGCTCAGTTTCCCAGCATGCTCTGGCTGTGGTGGTGGAGGTGTATGAGGGTGAGAGATCTGTCCTGCTGTCCTGTCAGTTCTCAGGTTTTATACCTGAGCACCCTGCAGTGATGTGGACTCGCAGTGATCTTCATCCCAAATCTCTCCACCTACAGCGTGAAGGAAGAGATGATCTTGGAGGACAAAACCAGCGTTACAGCGGGCGCACGTCGATGAGACCTGATGCTCTGGACACTGGAGACTTTAGCCTCACTCTGAGAAAACCAACAAAGACTGACAGTGGAGCATACACCTGCTCCATCAGTGATGGAGGAGATGAACTGAAAGTGACAGATATACAGCTGCAGGTCAAAGGTCAGCAACAAAACCAGAACGTATACACAGTAAAACCTGAAGTTCAATAGGCTTGAGAAAAGAATTTGAATGGGGATTTGAAATTGTAGGTAATGGTGAGAAAACGGTGTTTTTAATGCTAGAAATAGCTGGGTCACTTAAAAGTTTCATCCAGTTAGTCCCAATGTGAAAAGAATTCCCAGGTTGGGATCCATTGCCTTTGGATATGTCCATGTCAGCTCGCACTGGAGTAAATCACAGCCGTGAAGCAGCAAAAATGAGAATCAGCTCCTCCAAGTCTGATGCAATGGTCCTCATGGACCCGCATGGGCATCCAGAAAAGAGTTCAAAGTTCCCACTCTGGTCTAAGGAGCTTGGAAAGAAAAGCGTCTGGACTTCTTTAAGTTGCTTGAAGACGTTTCACCTCTCATCCGAGGAGCTTCTTCAGTTCTAAGGAACCCACTCTGATTCAAGGACCTCCAAGGTGGTCGAGTTTAAGCATCTTGGAGTGTCATTCATGAGTGAGGGTACATGGTAGATGGAGACCGACAGACGAGGCTGTCAGACTCACTGTGTGTGTCTCCTATATGATACATTTAACTGACATTTTTTTATTGTAACAACCAGCGATTTATACAGGAAACTAATGACTATTAACAAGGTTGCCCAAACTTTTGCATCCCACTGTAGTTGGGAGAGTTGAAAGGATGTACTGTCTGTTTGGGTAACTAAGGTAATTAAGGATATACAGGGAGTGTAGAATTATTAGGCAAGTTGTATTTTTGAGGAATAATGTTATTATTGAACAACAACCATGTTCTCAATGAACCCAAAAAACTCATTAATATCAAAGCTGAATGTTTTTGGAAGTAGTTTTTAGTTTGTTTTTAGTTTGAGCTATTTTAGGGGGATATCTGTGTGTGCAGGTGACTATTACTGTGCATAATTATTAGGCAACTTAACAAAAACAAATATATACCCATTTCAAATATTTATTTTTACCAGTGAAACCAATATAACATCTCCACATTCACAAATATACATTTCTGACATTCAAAAACAAAACAAAAACAAATCAGCGACCAATATAGCCACCTTTCTTTGCAAGGACGCTCAAAAGCCTGCCATCCATGGATTCTGTCAGTGTTTTGATCTGTTCACCATCAACATTGCGTGCAGCAGCAACCACAGCCTCCCAGACACTGTTCAGAGAGGTGTACTGTTTTCCCTCCTTGTAAATCTCACATTTGATGATGGACCACAGGTTCTCAATGGGGTTCAGATCAGGTGAACAAGGTGGCCATGTCATTAGTTTTTCTTCTTTTATAGCCTTTCTTGCCAGCCACGCTGTGGAGTACTTGGACGCGTGTGATGGAGCATTGTCCTGCATGGAAATCATGTTTTTCTTGAAGGATGCAGACTTCTTCCTGTACCACTGCTTGAAGAAGGTGTCTTCCAGAAACTGGCAGTAGGACTGGGAGTTGAGCTTGACTCCATCCTCAACCCGAAAAGGCCCCACAAGCTCATCTTTGATGATACCAGCCCAAACCAGTACTCCACCTCCACCTTGCTGGCGTCTGAGTCGGACTGGAGTTCTCTGCCCTTTACCAATCCAGCCACGGGCCCATCCATCTGGCCCATCAAGACTCACTCTCATTTCATCAGTCCATAAAACCTTAGAAAAACCAGTCTTGAGATATTTCTTGGCCCAGTCTTGACGTTTCAGCTTGTGTGTCTTGTTCAGTGGTGGTCGTCTTTCAGCCTTTCTTACCTTGGCCATGTCTCTGAGTATTGCACACCTTGTGCTCTTGGGCACTCCAGTGATGTTGCAGTTCTGAAATATGGCCAAACTGGTGGCAAGTGGCATCTTGGCAGCTGCACGCTTGACTTTTCTCAGTTCATGGGCAGTTATTTGGCGCCTTGGTTTTTCCACACGCTTCTTGCGACCCTGTTGACTATTTTGAATGAAACGCTTGATTGTTCGATGATCACGCTTCAGAAGCTTTGCAATTTTGAGACTGCTGCATCCCTCTGCAAGATATCTCACTATTTTTGACTTTTCTGAGCCTGTCAAGTCCTTCTTTTAGAATAGAATTAGAATAGAATAGAATTCAACTTTATTGTCATTGCACATGCACAGGTACAGGGCAATGAAATGCAGTTTGCATCCATCCAGAAGTGCTTTAGTGATATAGATATATTACAATATATATTAGCAATAATATAGATATGTGAGTATATTACAGAAATGGGTCTATTATGGTATGTTATAATGTACACGGTATGAAGTATGTTGTGAATATTCTATAACTATAAGTATGTACAGGCTGTAGTACATTTTGACCCATTTTGCCAAAGGAAAGGACGTTGCCTAATAATTATGCACACCTGATATAGGGTGTTGATGTCATTAGACCACACCCCTTCTCATTACAGAGATGCACATCACCTAATATGCTTAATTGGTAGTAGGCTTTCAAGCCTATACAGCTTGGAGTAAGACAACATGCATGAAGAGGATGATGTGGACAAAATACTCATTTGCCTAATAATTCTGCACTCCCTGTAGATGGGAATATACTTATAGAGTGGAGAGAGTCTGTTGAAAAGTTAGAAGCAGTACTTGCTCCATCATGCTCCAGTTACCACCAGTATTATACTGCACTGTCTTTGTGGTTGATAATGTGTTTCTTGTCCTCATAGACGACCAAGAGGAGGTGACAATGTGGAAAACGTCAGACTTCATCATCCTGCCCTGCAAAACAAAACCTGAGCTGCCTGAGGGTTCCAGAGTGGAGTGGACTCGCTCTGACCGAGTGGTCCATGTGTATTCAAACAGAAGTGATCACCTTAAGAACCAGGACGACATTTACTGTGGCCGCACGAAGATGAACAAAGACCTGCTGAGAACTGGAGACCTCAGTCTGACCCTGAAATACCCCACAGAGAGAGACAGTGGAGGATACATCTGCACCATCTACAGGGACAAAGACATCCTGAGACAGAAAGTAGTGCTGCAGGTCAAAGGTCAGAGATGTAAATACAGGTCAGAAGTCAGTGTTGTAGATTTAGGTCAGAGTTCAGTGTTCATGTCGTTATAGTTTCTGTTTCTCCACAGAACCATTTCCATCCTGGGCCACATTTCTCCTGGTTCTCTTGGGCCTCCTGGTTCTTCTTGGGATTTCTGGAGGTCTCATATCTTATTTACGTCACTATTTCATGTCAGGTGAGTGTCTCCTACTACACTACCCATAATGCCGATGTTCAGCAGGTGTCCTCTGGTGGCTCCTTGACTGCGGCTCACACAAACTTGTTCCAGAAGCTGAAAGAGTTGAGAGTTACAAACAGCTGATACAGAGAGCTGAAGAGAAACTTCCAGGTTTGTTCCAGAAGTCAGAAAACCTCCTTCAGAGTCAGTCATTGATCAGTGAAGCAGCTCCACAACATGACTTTACTAAACAGTGTGTGTGCTTCACTGCATTGATCTGACTCAGAGGCTGCATGTGGACAAGCTGTTCTTCTTCTGTGGTGGTAAACAGCAGCTGACATGGAAACATGTGCTGACAGTAAATGTTGCAGCAGCTTCAGTAAATGTTCCTCCTTGAGTTGTGCTCAGTCATGTGGTGGAGAGCTTCAGATGTTCAGACACATGAGATCTTCATGGTTTTTGTGCTGATGTGTGTGAGACATGGCCAACTGTGGAGGCTCAGGCTGTCTGTGCTTCTTCATCCAACATGTCTGCAGCGCTTTACAGGACGCTGCAGACTAGTTACCAAAGAACGAGTCAGGAACACATCAGGAACAAACTGAGACACAATCTGACTGAGACTAGAAGACAAGGAGGGACAGGGAGGTCATGTGACCATCACAGCTGCTGCCAGCTGATGTCATCATGCTGTGCTTTGTTGTCCTCAAAGGTTACAAGGTGGAGGTAGATTCAGGGATGGAGTCTGTCCTGCTGCCCTGTAAAACCACAGTTCATCTGCCTGAAGATGGTAAAGTGGAGTGGACGGATAAAAATGGAAAGGTCCACGTGTATGAGAACGGCTCTGACAAACCTGAATACCAGCACCCAGATTTTAAAGCCAGAACCAAGATGAGGAAAAATCTGCTGATGCTTGGAGACTTCAGTCTGACCCTGAAATACCCGACAATCACAAACACCTACACCTGCACCATCTACAGCAGGGAGGGAAACATCCTGATGAAGAAACACGTGAAGCTGACTGTCAAAGGTTAGTGCTGTAGATACACGTCAAAGATCAGAAGTCAGTAAATGGTAAACAGACTGGTCCTTATACAGTCCTTTTCACAATAACTAGAAGATGATTTCTAGCAGAAGTGTGAACATCTCCACATCCTTTCTCCATGTTATCATCCAAAGCTGTGTGAAGTTTCAGAGCTCTGCAGCTAACAGACACTTTCAGTTTGTAACATCGTCTTCAGAACAACAAGATTAAGAAAAAAAACAAAACGCATAAAACCGAACATTTCCAATAAAGGAAACAAAAAGGTGGAATAAACTGATGTCTTAGTCAGTTTGTTAAATCGTTTGGATTTTCAGACAACAACATTCTTGTAGGTTATTTACCATATTTGATCAGTACCTCTCCATAGTGGTGAAGAGAGAGTTGAGTGAAGCTCTCAAATTATGAAACAAGTTGTTCCCAGGCTGGAGGAGGTGGCCAGGGTGAGGGTGGTCTGGGCTTCTCTGCTTAGGCTGCTGCCCCCACGACCTCCCCCCAAATAAGCTGAAGAAGATGAAAGGATGAAAAGATGTGATCATTCTGTATATTTCAGATAAAATAAAGTTAAATGGTAAATATTATTTCATTTCACATTTTCATGTAAGACACGGTATGCCTCAGCTGTTTCAGGTAGATCCAATGATGTGTCTAACTTTCTGATAACTTTCACTTTCCATCCTGATGATGAAGGCTGACAGAGAATGACGTCCCTCTGGAATCAGAATTTCCTGCAGTGAACATCCTGATTTTCTTTTTTTAAAGACACCAAATAGTGATGTTACCTCTAACACCGAGGCTTTGAACTACACTTTATTTATTGTTGTGAAACTGTGGGCGGAGTTTGCTTCAATTGAAATCACTGATTGTGTTTGAAGAGCTTCACGCTACGTCCACACGTATTTTTGAAAATGGAGATTTTCTGTTTTCGTTTTAAAAAAAACGCGTAAACGCAGAAATGAAGGAAAACGCTGCTAGGAACATGCCAAAGCAGCAGGGGGCAATATATTCCTAACCGTGTAGAAATGTTGGCCAATCAGAAGTCTAGAAGCCTCGTTGGGAAAAAGTAAACAAAGCTGGGGCATAGAAGCTAGTGATGGTAAATTTGATTCTTTTTACTGAATCGAGTGTTAATGAGTCACTCACCAAAGTGAATCGGTTTTTTTGAGTCATTTGATTCACTGAGTCAGTTGACCAGAGAGTGCAAAAATTTTACATTTTCACTCAAACTTAATTTGTTTCCCTTTTCATGTAAATCCCACTGCTAAGATGAATGCTTAAAAAACAAACAAACTATTTTAAGATAAGATAAGATAAGATAACCTTTATTAGTCCCACACGTGGGAAATTTGTTTTGTCACAGCAGGAAGTGGACAGTGCAAAAGTTATGAGGCAAAAATTAGAATACAATAAGAATAAATACAGTACACAACTGTACAGAATAGAATAAAATAATATACTATATACAGTAGAATAAAATAAATATACAATAAGATAAAAATAGAATACAAATACAAATACTATATACAACTGAGTAAAAATACAACGATGACAGAAAGGATTATTGCACTTAGTATTATTGCATATGTATGGATGTGTGTGTTTGATCAGTTAAAGTCTTTATTATGGAGTCTGACAGCAGTGGGGAGGAAAGACCTGCGAAATCTCTCCGTCCCACACCGTGGGTGCCGCAGTCTCCCACTGAAGGAGCTGCTCAGTGCTGTCACAGTCTGCTGCATGGGGTGGGAGATGTTGTCCATCAGGGATGACAGCTTAGCCGCCGTTCTCCTGTCACTCACCACCTCCACTGGGTCCAGAGGGCATCCTAGAACAGAGCTGGCCCTTCGGATCACCCTGTTCAGTCTCTTCCTGTCCCCAGCAGAGATGCTGCCGCCCCAGCAGACCACGCCATAAAAGATAGCAGAAGCCACAACAGAGTCATAGAATTTCTTCAGGAGTGGGCCCTCCACTCCAAACGACCTGAGTCTCCGCAGCAGGTACAGCCTGCTCTGCCCTTTCCTGTAGAGGGCGTCTGAGTTATGAGTCCTGTCCAGTCTATTGTTCAGATGAACACCAAGGTACCTGTAGCTGTCCACAGCCTCAATGTCCATACCTTGGATGTTCAGTGGTTGCAGTGGAGAATGCTTGTGCCTGCGGAAGTCTACCACCAGTTCCTTGGTTTTACTGGCGTTGATCTGGAGGTAGTTCAGCTGGCACCAGTCCACAAAGTCTTGGGTCAGACCTCTGTACTCCTTGTCGTCCCCATCAGTGATGAGGCCGACTATTGCAGAGTCATCAGAGAACTTCTGCAGGAAGCACTGGGTGGAATTGTGGGAGAAGTCTGCAGTGTAGATGGTGAAGAGGAACGGAGCCAGAACCGTTCCCTGTGGGGCCCCCGTACTGCAGACGACCCTGTCCGACACACAGCCCTGAGTCCTCACATACTGTGGTCGGTCGGTGAGGTAGTCCAGGATCCAGGTAGTGAGGTGATGGTCCACTCCAGAGTTCACCAGCTTGTCCTTTAGAACCGAGGGAAGAATGGTGTTGAAGGCACTGGAGAAATCAAAGAACATGATTCTCACAGTGCTTCCAGCGGTCTCCAGGTGAGCGAGGGAACGATGTAGGAGGTGAATGACGGCATCATCCGCTCCAATGCCAGGCTGGTAGGCAAACTGAAGTGGGTCCAGTGATGAGCTTATTAGGCGCCGAAGCTGAGCCAGGACCAACCGCTCCAGGGTCTTCATCAGGTGGGATGTCAGAGCCACCGGCCTGTAGCTGTTGAGGTCCTTGGGGCGTGAAGTCTTTGGCACTGGTACAACACAGGAGGTTTTCCAGAGCTGTGGGACTCTTCCCAACCTCAGGCTCAGGTTGAAGAGGTGCTCCATCACCCCACACAGTTGGTCCGCGCAGGACCTGACGACCCTCGAGCTGATGCCATCTGGACCCGCTGCCTTCTTACCATTAATCCTCCTCAGTTCCCTCCTAACCTGGGTGGTTGAGAGAGACAGGCTGGAGCCTTGTGTTGAGTGTGTATTGGATGCTGTTGTTGGGGGTGGGGGGGAGTGAGCAGGGTGAATAGAGGAGGTGTGAAGTGTCTGAGGTGGAACAGCAGCAGTGGGGGTGGGTGAGTCTGCAGCCGATGTTGCAGACTGCCTCATGGCTGAGTCAAATCTGTTGAAGAAATGATTCAGTTCATTTGCCCATCTCACATCCCTCCCAGGCAGAGAGTTCTGCTGTTTGTGGCCCGAGATGGTTCTGAGGCCTCTCCAGACTTCACCAACGTTGTTTTGTTGAAGCTGGTTCTCCATCTTCTGCCTGTAGCTCTCCTTCCCATTCCTTATCAGTCCCCTCAGCTCTCTCTGCACCCTTTTCAACTCCTCTTTGTCTCTGGATTTTATAGAGAAAAAAAGAGCAAAAACATTTCTAAAATTAAGCAATTTCCTATCAAAATTGCTTAATAAACATTTATTTTGTTAGTATTTTCCTTAAGTGTGTCAAATATATATTTTCTCATCTAAATGTCCACTGCGCTGTGAGCCAGGGGGCGGTAATGCGCCTTAACATTGGTTGCCAACCAAGAAGAAGAAGAAGCTGTGAGCCAGGAGGGAGGGGATGAGTGAGTGATTCGTTCGCCCGCTCTTTGATTCAGCACAGGAGGGAGGGGGTGAGTGAGTGAGTGATTCGTTCGCCCGCTCTTTGATTCAGCACAGGAGGGAGGGGGTTAGTGAGTCCTGAGTGATTCGTTCGCTCTTTGATTCAGCACAGGAGGGAGGGGGTGAGCGAGTCCTGAGTGATTCGCTTATGCTTACGATTCCGCACAGGAAGCGAGGGGGTGAGTAGCTCAAATGTGTTGTTAGCATGTTAGCAGCGCGATGCTACTCTGAACCGGGGAGCTATTTTCTTGATGTGAGCTTCTACTCAGGGTTTTTTCTTCCAGTTCAGAGCAGAAATGCTTTTGTTACGAAACTGGCTGTTGTTTCCCCCCCCCCCACAATTTTAATTATAACCTAGATATATTTCTACTAATGGAATTAGTTTGCTAACAGCAACAGGGATGAGTCAGTGAGTCAGTTGGGCTTGTGAATCATGATTCACGAGTCAGTAAAGTGATTCTCGAGTATTGAACATCACTAATAGAAGCAGAACCGAGTCGTATGTGTGGAGGGACAGTAACTGTGTGTGTATATGTGAGCATTTAAACACTGCAGAGAGTACAATTAACAGCAACAGTATTGTAGAAATTCATTTCACCGAAAAAATAATGTGGCGCACAGTGTGACGTCAAAATAGGCGCACACCTTTGACACTGCGTTTTCTCCGTTTTTATTTATTTTATTTCCGGCTCTTTTTAGAGAACCGGCTCTTCAGGTTGTTTTGTTGCTTTAATTAATTTATTATTAACAATAATATAAAATTATGCACAAAAGGAATTACTAATGTAAAAAAAACTTGGTTTTATTTACAGTGGGGCAAAAAAGTATTTAGTCAGCCACCGATTGTGCAAGTTCCCCCACTTAAAATGATGACAGAGGTCAGTAATTTGCACCAGAGGTACACTTCAACTGTGAGAGACAGAATGTGAAAAAAAATCCATGAATCCACATGGTAGGATTTGTAAAGAATTTATTCGTAAATTAGGGTGGAAAATAAGTATTTGGTCACCTCAAACAAGGAAAATCTCTGGCTCTCACAGACCTGTAACGTCTTCTGTAAGAAGCTTTTCTGTCCCCCACTCGTTACCTGTATGAATGGCACCTGTTTGAACTCATCATCTGTATAAAAGACACCTGTCCACAGCCTCAAACAGTCAGACTCCAAACGCCGCCATGGCCAAGACCAAAGAGCTTTCGAAGGACACCAGGAAAAGTATTGTAGACCTGCACCAGACTGGGAAGAGTGAATCTACAATAGGCAAGCAGCTTGGTGTGAAAAAATCAACTGTGGGAGCAATCATCAGAAAATGGAAGACATACAAGACCACTGATAATCTCCCTCGATCTGGGGCTCCACGCAAGATCTCATCCCGTGGGGTCAAAATGATCATGAGAACGGTGAGCAAAGATCCCAGAACCACACGGGGGGACCTGGTGAATGACCTGCAGAGAGCTGGGACCAAAGTAACAAAGGTCACCATCAGTAACACACTACAACGGCAGGGAATCAAATCCCGCAGTGCCAGACGTGTTCCGCTGCTGAAGCCAGTGCATGTCCAGGCCCGTCTGAAGTTTGCCAGAGAGCACATGGATGATACAGCAGAGGATTGGGAGAATGTCATGTGGTCAGATGAAACCAAAGTAGAACTTTTTGGTATAAACTCAACTCGTCGTGTTTGGAGGAAGAAGAATACTGAGTTGCATCCCAAGAACACCATACCTACTGTGAAGCATGGGGGTGGAAACATCATGCTATGGGGCTGTTTTTCTGCCAAGGGGACAGGACGACTGATCCGTGTTAAGGACAGAATGAATGGGGCCATGTATCGTGAGATTTTGAGCCAAAACCTCCTTCCATCAGTGAGAACTTTGAAGATGAAACGAGGCTGGGTCTTCCAACATGACAATGATCCAAAACACACCGCCCGGGCAACAAAGGAGTGGCTCCGTAAGAAGCATTTGAAAGTCCTGGAGTGGCCTAGCCAGTCTCCAGACCTCAACCCCATAGAAAATCTGTGGCGGGAGTTGAAAGTCCGTGTTGCTCGGCGACAGCCCCAAAACATCACTGCTCTCGAGAAGATCTGCATGGAGGAATGGGCCAAAATACCAGCTACTGTGTGTGCAAACCTGGTAAAGACCTATAGTAAACGTTTGACCTCTGTTATTGCCAACAAAGGTTATGTTACAAAGTATTGAGTTGTATTTTTGTTATTGACCAAATACTTATTTTCCACCCTGATTTACGAATAAATTCTTTACAAATCCTACCATGTGGATTCATGGATTTCTTTTTCACATTCTGTCTCTCACAGTTGAAGTGTACCTCTGGTGCAAATTACTGACCTCTGTCATCATTTTAGGTGGGGGAACTTGCACAATCGGTGGCTGACTAAATACTTTTTTGCCCCACTGTATAACCTTTATTTATGCAGTTAAAAAATCTCATTAACATTAAAAATGTCTTTCATAAGAGTAAGTTGGCCAAGATCAGAAATACCAGCAAATATTACAATAGTTCTGCAAAAATATTTTAAGTGGGGATAAAGAACCGGATTGGTTATAATGTAAGTACAATAACAATAATAATAATAATATTTTTTTAATTTTATATATAACCCCTTTGTAAACTCTGTTCACTGAAGTCTATTTACGAACATACGCAAAGATATTAATACACAGAAACATTGGAAATCCGTTTTTGGCAGACAATCACTTTTTGGCACAATACCAGCTCGCGTCGATCACGTCAAAGCTCCGGCTCTAAGAGCCATTTCGTTCGAGACCGACACATCACTAGTCCACACATAAATGCAAAAACTGAGTTTTCGAAAATATCCACTCTGGCAGGCGTTTTTAGAAATCTCTGTTTTCAGCGACTGAAAACGCAGTTTATGTGTGGACGAAAAGTGCAAACGCATAGAAAAATCTCAGTTTTCAAAAATACCCGGGTACGTGTGGATGTAGGCCCAGTGCTTCAGGTGGAGCTTTGAAACGTTGGCGTAAAACTCGATGTATTAAAGGTGACTGAAACATAGTTTATCATTTTGAACCATGTGTGTAGTGAATGAAGCTGTGAGTAGTGATTCAGTTTTTGAGCCAGTGCCTTGTTTCGTCATTAATATCAAATAAAGGTTTGACTCTGGACACATCAGCTCTGCTGCTGATTGGACAGATAAACACAACACAGTAGAGTAATGGGACATATTTCAGACTCCAAACAAACATCACTAAAAATATTTCACTTCATCCGGTCAAAGAAAATGTACACACTGCTGCTGCTGATGTCTGTCCAGCTCATGCTGTGCTTTGTTGTCCTCTCAGTCCCCCAGGTGGAGGTGGATTCAGGGGTGGAGTCTGTCCAGCTGCCTTTCAAAACCTCTTCAAAAGTTCCCCTGCTTGACATAGCAACCATTGAGTGGACAAACATGTACAACACAAAGGTCCACGTGTATCAGAAGAGCTCTGACCAGCCTGAAGAACAGGACAAGATCTACACAGAAAGAACGAAAATGAATGAAGACCCACTGAAAACTGGAGACCTCAGTCTGACCCTGAAATACCCCACAGATGGAAACACGGGTATCTACACCTGCATCGTCTACGACACCAAGAAAAACATCCTGCTGAAGAAAAAGGTGGAGCTGAGAGTCAAAGGTCAGTGCTGTAGATACAGCTCAAAGATCAGAGTTCAGAAAATGATTAAAAACCGAAAATAAATAAAAACAAAAGTGAGCTGACAGATGCCAGCCAACTAATCAAAACTCAAAAGAAAAGAAACCACAGTGGTTTCTACAAGTCAAACAAGCTAAATAAATGAACACGCTGGTGACCATACACAGAATGCTAATCATGCTAAACATGGTGCAATGTGTTCAGCAACAAAACAAGAGAGAAGCCTTCAAGTGAAAGTGTACTATTTTTCTTAAATTGGACAATAATTGGACAATCTTACGCCTCAACTTACTCTTGGAATTTGCTGGGATCTCATGCGCACAACATGAAAAAAACACAACATCCAAAATGCTAGCTGGTACTGCTTATATCATTCATCATATAAAGCAGGGTGTCATGAACATTATGTGCAGGCTGGAATTGGACCAAAACGCAAACTCACCGAAAGGAAGCTTAAACTCAAAATGCAGCTTTATTTTCTGAACGGAGGAAAAGGCGATACAAAACAAAACTAGACTGGGAAATTCTTATGAAACTGACTCGCAAAGAAACACGGAGGGGTACACGGCCATGAGGGAGGACGCGACACGGAAGGAGACGCTGACTAGTGATGCGCGAATCATGAACGAATCGTTAAATATCGAGAATCACTTTACTGACTCATGAATCATGATTCACAAGTCCAACTAACTCACTGACTCATCTCTGTTGCTGTTAGCAGCAATGTATCTAGCTTATAATTAAAATTGTGGACACAATTTTAACACAACATCCAGTATCTTAACAAAAGCATTTCTGTTCTGAACTGGAAGAAAAAGCCCTGAGTAGAAGCTCACATCAAGACAATAGCTCCTCGGTTCACAGTAGCATCGCTCTGCTAACATGCTAACAGCACATTTGAGCTATTCACCCCCTCCCTCCTGTGCTGAATCATAGAGCGAACGAATCACTCACTCACTCACTGGCTGTATCCCAATTCAGGGTCTGCAGCCTTAAAAGCCGCATTTTAAGGCCGATTACGTCACCGCGACGCGACGAAGGCTGTCCCAATTCGAAGGCTGCTCGAAATGCGGCCCTCAAATGCGTCCTTCATTTCCCTGAATTTTAAGGATGTGGCGGTGTAGACTTCGTGGCCCAACATATCCCAGAATGCATAGCGCAGCGGTGGGTGTGGATGATTTTGCCGAAAAAAACGGCGGATGAGGGGCGCCCGAAGAGTAAACTTTAAGTACTGAATATTATGTCACTTGTTTATGTGCAAATGTTAAATAACAAAGAACATTAAAACATTACTGTTGGCCACATGTCGGCAAAGTTATGTGACATTAGTGACGTTTGTACTAACTTGGTTTTAAAGCCTTTACTTTAAAATATACGCCGTTCAATAGCTGAGCTTAATCTTACAGAGAATGATCAAAGCTCATGTAGCAACAAACAAACAAATGAACAAAAGATTTTCTCCTTCATTTCTGTCAAACAAAGCTGTATGACACGTTTCCAGCTGTTAGTATCATGGTTGCTAGGCAACCTGGGCAGCGCAACGGAGGCTAGACCGTCCCATTTCACAAGCCTCGCACTTCCGGCCTTAGCGGTCTTTGAGTACGCGGCCCTTGAGGATCGTTGAGGCTGCGTACTTTAAGGCTGCAGACCCTGAATTGGGATACAGCCACTCACCCCCTCCCTCCTGGTTCACAGCTTCTTCTTCTTCTTGGTTGGCAACCAATGTTAAGGCGCATTACCGCCCCCTGGCTCACAGCTCAGTGGACATTTAGATGAGAAAATATATATTTGACACATTTAAGGAAAATACTAACAAAATAAATGTTTATTAAGAAATTTTGATAGGAAATTGCTTAATTTTAGAAATGTTTTTGCTCCTTTTTGCTCTATAAAATAGTTGTTTTCTTTTAGAATCATTCATCTTAGCAGTAGGATGTACATGAAAAGAGAAACAAATTAAGTTTGAGTGAAGATGTACATTTTTTGCACTCTCTGGTCAACTCTCACACACGTCACCACACGCACCACCACACATTTCCTATAATCCTATAATTCCTATAATTTATAATCCTTATCTTTATAATCTCTTCTGCTATTTGCACATTCTTTACTGTAAATTCCTAAGTTAATTTGTAAATTTTTGTAGTAAATTGTAAATATTGTAAAACTTTTCTTCTGTCATTTAATGGTCGGGCATTGTACAGCTACAAGCATTTCACCCCCATGTCATACTGTGTATGGTTGTGTGTGTGTGACAAATAAAATTTGAATTTGAATTTGAACTGACTCAGTGAATCAAATGACTCAAAAAAACCAATTCACTTTGGTGAGTGACTCATTAAAACTCGATTCAGTAAAAAGAATCAAATTTACCATCACTAACGTTGACATAAATGAACACAAAGATAACGAGGTCTTTGGCCTTTGTCTGGTAACCGTTCCTAGATGTTACCTGATCATGGATTAATCTCTGCCACAGTGTTGCTGACAGAGCAATGTTTGGTGAACAGGATCGTCTTTACATGAAACATGCAATCCTTCACAAACTGCCCTCGGTTAATGGTTTTCCTGCCTCTGCAATTAGTTCACTAACTATGTAGCTCCCTTCAGCTGTAGCAAACTGGTACAAAGCCATTACAGGGGGGCGCGTTATGACTAAAGAAACAAACAACAACAACAAAAAAAGAATGCTTGGACACTGCTAGCATAGTGGACAGGGTTTTTTGTTTTGTTTTGTTTTCACGGGGCTTCCACACAAACGCAATGCAGAGGTTGAAGCATCGCAAAATATGCTTGCAAGCCAAAGACTAGAACAGCAGCTGTCGTGCCAAGGTAGGTAGGTCTCCCCGACAGAATTTGTTTCCCCTGCGTCGGGAGCACACGTGCGAGTGGGCGTTAAGGCGTCTGGGTCGTAAACCACCGCCTCTGTTCAAAGATGGTCACTCACAGTGGACATAGATGCTTCTTTCACTCCTCTTTCAAACCATCTGTCCTCTCTGTCCAGAATGTGAACATTGGCATCCTCGAAAGAGTGACCTTTGACCTTTAGATGCAGATGGACTGCTGAGTCTTGTCCTGTGGAGGTGGCTCTTCTGTGTTGTGCCATGCGCTTGTGAAGTGGCTGTTTGGTCTCTCCAATGTAGAGGTCTGAGCATTCCTCGCTGCACTGTACAGCATACACCACATTGTTAAGTTTGTGTTTTGGCGTTTTGTCTTTGGGATGAACCAGTTCTTATTTTCAAAAGTAATTAATTACTTAGTTACTTTTTAAAAACACGATTTACAACCTGAATAGGTGATAAAGTGATACATCTTTCAGCCCAATTCTACTTTTTCTGCATAATCCATCATAAAAAATGTAATCAAAAGGAAAAGTCTCTTTTTAAAACTTGTTTCATTAGTTTTAGTCTTTTAACTTTATGCATCAAGCAAAAATTAAATTATATGCAACATTCTCTGACTGGAAGAAATTAGTTTAACATTTAAACCTATTTTCTGCACATTCCAGCACATAAAATAAAATATTTTTTGTGTTTACACTCAGTCTTTCAAATAGATGCAAGTAAAACACAGCAGAAAATAAATAAAGTCAAAGACTCAGCGGTCCTGTTGCTCTATTTTCACCTGTAAAGCAGGAGTGGGGCAGGCGGAGGTTTACCCTGGTGCAGGTGTGCCGCGGTCAGTTGAAGAATCCACGAGTTTCTCTGTGAGTTTCCCATTACGTCGTTGCGCACTCGGTGCTTGTTTGGAAGTTTAGGGGTTTTTTCGCTGTAAAAAGAAGTTTTCTTCCCACGCACAACGGACACTAATGTTTTTGTCACTTTTTATGGAATCAAACTCAAAGTAAGGTCAGTACTTCCACGCTTTAAACGCTGCACGCTGCATACTCTCTCCCGCACTCCATATATTATCCATTGTTGATCTGCACACAGCTGTTGTCACTAACGTCGCACTCGCTTACGTCACTGTCGTGAGACATTCTCGCAAAAAAACCCACAGTTTTAGTAACACAGTAACGCAGCGTTCCTACGGGAAAGTAACAGTAATCTAATTACCGCTTTTGCAATAGTAATCCCTTACTTTACTCGTTACTTGAAAAAAGTAATCGGATTACAAGTTACAAGTAACACATTACTGCCCATCTCTGGTCTCCACAAGCTTAAAGAGCTGCTTTCACTTGATCTCTGTCCTGTTTCCTTCTGCTCTGATCTGCTTCTGTTCTTCAGCCTTATCTACAACTCTGAAAATCAGCTGCTTCTGTCTATAAAGGTAATGTTGTTTGTTGTCCTCTCAGACTGTCTGGTGGAGGTGAAGGAGGGGGCGGAGTCTGTTGAGCTGCCCTTCAAAACCACAGGAAACCTGCCTGAAGATGCCACAGTAGAGTGGGAATACTGTGAACCTGAATGCAGGAAGGTCCACATGTATGAAAAAAGATCTGACCAGCCTGACAAAAAGGACGAGGAATACAGGGACCGAACATCAATGAATGAAGACCCTCTAAAAACTGGAGACCTCAGTCTGACCCTGAAACACCCCACAGAGAGAGACAGTGGGAGATACAGATGTGAAGTCAAGTCTGGCTGTAAACTTCTCAGAAGGAAAATGTTGTTTCTAAAAGGTTAGTGTGTGTGTGTGTGTGTGTGTGTGTGTGTGTGTGTGTGTGTGTGCGTGTGTGCGTGTGCGTGCGTGTGTGTGTGTGTGTGTGTCTCTGACTGTCTTGTGTCTCCTCTGCAGGGAGAGTTCAGGTCCAGGATCAAACAGGGGACATCAGGAACAGAAGCAGCTCCATTGATCCGACTCCTCTGATGGCTGATCAATCAGTTTGATCTGTGTGTTCTGTGATTATTGATCAGTGATGTCAGAGTGGAGTCAGTGTGATGTTGTTGTTGTGTGTTTGAGACTTTTAGTGTCCATGAAGGTCTCTGCTGCCGTAGATCCTCTGAACTGTGACAGAGGTCTCACTCTGGAGGAAACTCTCAGCACTTTCCAGCAGCTCCTCCATCATGGAGGACGTTCCCTCACTGTAACAGGTGGAGGAGAGAGGAGAGGAAGCACAGGTGGATCCTCTGAGGAAGAGGAGCGTTCTCACAGTAATTTTACAACATGAAAACACAAAAGACATTATTACATAGTATTAAAGTATATCACATCAGTCCATGCTGTCCCCTCACTGAGTGTCTTAACATTATTTACTCAGTAACCAACATGAACTTGTATTATCAGCAAGTGTGTGTATTTTTTTGGTTAGAATATCAAATTATTTTTTCATTGTTTTCGTGCAGCACTTTGGTCAGCTGTTTTGTTGTTTAAAAATGCTTTGGAAATAAAGTGAACGTGAAGTAAAGAGATGTGATAATATCGATCCTTTGAGACCCCACATTCAATGGTTTTACTGTGAGATATTACAGGTGTCTATCGCTCCCTTCCATACACCTGAGTGCTGTGGCCCTGACACCATCGTGGTATTAGCACCAATAAAAGTCCACACTCATCTTCATTATGAAGGTCGACAGCAGAGTGTGAGCTCATCTCCATTAAAAGCATCCTCAGACCTGGACTGAGATTCAGAGTGAGAGGAGAGCTCAGGGACCGCCTACAAAGTGCAACACCAACAAAAAAAACCAATAAAGTTTGGTGACTGTGTTTTTAATGGACGTCTACTTTAAATTACTTCCTCAAAGTGTGTCAAGTTCATCACTGTAAATGTACATATTAGTAAAAATGGTTTGATAAAAGCAGATCATGAGGAATTTTTAGATTTTTCACTGTGAGAAGAAGTTATTTAATAATTCTAATTTAAAAAGATCACCTTTGTATTTATTACGGCAGAATGATGGACAAGATGGCCCTGCAGTATAAAGTCATCTGGGAGAAATGCCACTGTACATGATTGGAGCAGCAACGTCTTTGTGGTGTTGCACTTTGTAGGCGGTCCCTGAGCACTTCACTCCACCCAGCTGCACCTGGAGCCCAGCGGCATTTATTTCACATCCACCTTGTCGTGATTCACGCGCTGAGGGTGTCCTTTCTGATTGATATATATATATATATATATATATATACATATACATATATATATATACGTATATATATATATATATATATGTATATATATATATATATATATATATATACATATATATATATATATATATATACATACATATATATATATATAAAACCCCCTCAGTGAGATCATTAACAAGACTGGCTACGGATACCGACTACGGAACGGAGCAGTTGTCAGCCACCTCCTGTACATGGATGACATCAAGCTGTATGCCGAGACATCGATTCACTGATCCACACTACCAGGCTATACAGCAATGACATTGGAATGTCATTCGGACTGGAGAAGTGTAGTCGGATGGTAACAAAGAGAGGGAAGGTAGTCAGAACTGAGGGGATTGAACTACCAGAAGGCAACATTGCAGACATAGAGGACAGTTACAAGTACCTGGGGATCCCGCAGGCGAATGGGAACCATGAAGAGGCCGCTAGAAAAGCTGCAACCACCAAGTACCTGCAGAGGGTCAGGCAAGTCCTGAGGAGTCAGCTGAATGGTAAGAACAAGATCCGGGCCATCAACACGTACGCCCTGCCCGTGATCAGGTACCCTGCTGGGATAATAGGCTGGCCAAAGGAGGAGATAGAAGCCACTGACATAAAGACAAGAAAGCTCCTTACCATGCATGGAGGGTTTCACCCCAAGTCCAGCACCCTGAGGCTGTACGCTAAGCGGAAGGAAGGGGGCCGGGGACTGGTGAGTGTCAGCACCACAGTCCAGGATGAGACAACGAACATCCAAGAATACATTGGGAAGATGGCCCCAACTGACCGAGTGCTCAGTGAATACCTCAGGCAGCAGAAACCCAAGAAAGAGGAGGGAGACGAGGAACCATCATGGAAGGACAGGCCCCTGCACGGTATGTACCACCGGCAGATAGAGGAGGTGGCTGATATCCAGAAATCCTACCAGTGGCTGGACAAAGCTGGACTGAAAGACAGCACAGAGGCACTAATCATGGCAGCACAAGAACAAGCTCTGAGCACAAGATCCATAGAGGCTGGGGTCTATCACACCAGGCAAGACCCCAGGTGCAGGCTGTGTAAAGATGCCCCAGAGACAATCCAGCACATAACAGCAGGGTGCAAGATGCTAGCAGGCAAGGCATACATGGAACGCCATAACCAAGAGGCCGGCATAGTGTACAGGAACATCTGTGCCGAGTATAACCTGGAAGTCCCGAGGTCAAAATGGGAGATGCCCCCAAGGGTGGTGGAGAATGACCGAGCTAAGATCCTGTGGGACTTCCAGATACAGACGGACAAAATGGTGGTGGCTAACCAACCGGACATAGTGGTGGTAGACAAACAGAAGAAGACGGCCGTAGTGATCGATGTAGCGGTTCCGAATGACAGCAATATCAGGAAGAAGCAACACGAGAAGCTGGAGAAATACCAAGGGCTCAGAGAAGAGCTCGAGAGGATGTGGAGGGTGAAGGTAACGGTGGTCCCCGTGGTAATCGGAGCACTAGGTGCGGTGACTCCCAAGCTAGGCGAGTGGCTCCAGCAGATCCCGGGAACAACATCGGAGATCTCTGTCCAGAAGAGCGCAGTCCTGGGAACAGCTAAGATACTGCGCAGGACCCTCAAGCTCCCAGGCCTCTGGTAGAGGACCCGAGCTTGAAGGATAAACCGCCCGCAGAGGCGTGCTGGGTGTTTTTTTTAATTTTATATAAAGATATCTAGATATCTAGATCTATATATATATATATATATATATATATATATATACATACACATATATATATATACACTGAACAAAAATATAAACGCAACACTTTTGTTTTTGCTCCCATTCCCCATAGGATGGACGTAGAGACCTAAAATTCATCCCAGATACACAATATAACCATCCCTCCCAAACAGTGGTCACAAATCAGTCCAAATGTGTGGTAGTGGGCACATCTGCTATATTGAGATAATCCATCCCACCTCACAGGTGTGCCACATCAGGATGCTGATCTGACATCATGAGTAGTGCACAGGTGTACCTCAGACTGCCCACAACAAAAGGCCACCCTGGAATGTGCAGTTTTGTCTCACAGCAAAATGCCACAGATGCCACAAGCAATGAGGGAGCGTGCAATTGGCATGCTGACAGCAGGAATGTCAACCAGATCTGTCGCCCGTGCATTGAATGTTTATTTCTCAACCATAAGCCGTCTCCACAGGCGTTTCAGAGAATATGGCAGCACATCCAACCGGCCTCACAACCGCAGACCTCGTGTAACCACACCAGCCCAGGACCTCCACATCCAGCAGGTTCACCTCCAAGATCGTCTGAGACCAGCCACCCAGACAGCTGCTGGAACAATTGGTTTGCACAACCAAACAATTTCTGCACAAACTGTCAGAAACCGTCTCAGGGACGCTCAACTGCATGCCCGTCGTCCTCATCGGGGTCTTGACCTGACTCCAGCTCGTCGCCGTAACAGACTTGTGTGGGCAAATGCTCACATTCGATGGCGTCTGGCACGTTGGAGAGGTGTGCGCTTCACGGATGAATCATGGTTCACATTGTTCAGGGCAGATGGCAGCTGAGAATGTCCCAGTTCTTGCATGGCCAGCATACTCACCGGACATGTCACCCATTGAGCATGTTCGGGATGTGCTTGACCGGCGTATACGACAGCGTGTACCAGTTCCCACGAATATCCAACAACCTCGCACAGCCATTGAAGTGGAGTGGACCAACATTCCACAGGCCACAATTGACAATCTGATAGACTCCATGCGACGATGTGTTGCACTGCATGAGGCAAATGGTGGTCACACCAGATACTGACCGGTTCTGGGTCCCCAGACCCCCAATAGCGCAAAAAACTGCACATTCCAGGGTGGCCTTTTGTTGTGGGCAGTCTGAGGTACACCTGTGCACTACTCATGATGTCAGATCAGCATCCTGATGTGGCACACCTGTGAGGTGGGATGGATTATCTCAATATAGCAGATGTGCCCACTACCACACATTTGGACTGATTTGTGACCACTGTTTGGGAGGGATGGTTATATTGTGTATCTGGAATGAATTTTAGGTCTCTACGTCCATCCCATGGGGAATGGGAGCAGTAACAAAGGTGTTGCGTTTATATTTTTGTTGAGTGTATATATATGTATATATATATATATATATATATATATATTAGGGGTGCAACGATACACAAAATTCACGGTTCGGTTCGATACTTTTGGTGTCACGGTTCGATATTTTTTCGATATATATATATATATATATCGGATCGGTCTATCTCTAATATATATATATATATATATATATATATATATATATATATATATATATTAGAGATGGACCGATGCAATATTACGTATCGGTATTGGTCCGATACTGACCTAAATTACTGGATCGGATATCGGAGAAAAATAAAAAATGTAATCCGATCCATTAAATATCACGAAAGCACCTCACAAAACTTGCAACACGCCGTAACTCACCTCAGAACGTTAGCACGTCGGAGCAGTATGCATCACGTGATAGAGCGGCTGTGGCATGCGGGACCTGTCGGTGGTCTGGATAGCATTTGGAGCTTCGCTAGCAACCCGGCATTTCATCTCCGACAAAGTTATCCCCGAGAGAAGTAAAGCAAGTGTGTAAGTCCATCTCTGAATGTTTGTAAAGCATTCCTGCGTTAAGCTTAACAAGCGATATATGGAGCGACTGCCTCTTCTTGCTGCTACTTCAATCATGAAACTGCTTAACGATCAGCTGATCGGCTTTTCTGTCGCGAGTCTGTCTCTTTTGTTTGTTTTTGGCCCACTTTGCACCAGAAAGAGGAAACCAGCGGCTGAACAACAGCAGCACGTTTAAGCTTGATAAGCTGTTGTTAGAATTTATTTAATATTACTTTCTACACCAGGATCTTTTTCTACGTAGCTGACGGCTGGTAACTGTGCAGGGGCGGATCTAGCAAAGTTTAGCCAGGGGGGCCGATAGGGCATGAACAGGGAAAAGGGGGCACAAAGACATACTTTTCTTTCTTATTGTCATTTAAAATGTCTCGCTTTTAGTAAATAATTATCCAAATCTTACACCCAAAGTTTTAATTTGATGTAAAATGAATAGAAGTCCATTACTGTATATAGTAACTGTTAAGTCTAATATACCCTAGTAAGCTATAGTACTTTTTCCTTTGGGAAGGTACCATCTGTGCAGTCTGCAGTTCTGTTGAAGAAAGATGTTGAATCTATTTAATATTTTAATATATTGAAAAATAATTGATTTCTGTGCATTTTTTTTCACACTGCATCAAATTAAGGTTGATTACGTCGATTAAGCATCATGAGGTGGAGGGTGGGGCGTGGTTCCCTATTTTTTATTTATTTATTTTTGTTGTTGCTGGGAGTTGGAACCCTATTAGTTAGGTTGCTTAATATTTACGCTAAGTACTCTTTAAAATACCAGAATAGGGAGGATGGTGTAGGTTTAAGTTTATTAGATTGATCAGTATTGCTGAACTATGAAATATATTTTTTTGCATACAGGTATAACAGAATAGCTTTAGTGTAGTTGTTGTTTTAAACTTGAGTATGAACTTATACAAAATGCAGCAAGATATTTAAAAAACAGTTTTGTTGATTAAAAAACACTATATCGGATTCATATCGGTATCGGCAGATATCCAAATTTATGATATCGGTATCGGTATCGGACATAAAAAAGTGGTATTGTGCCATCTCTAATATATATATATATATATATATATATATATATATATATATATATATATATATATATATATATATATCCTGTATCCTGAATACTCAGAGCATATCCACCAAATACTCAGTCTGGAAGTTGTTGACCAGAGAGATTTCTTATGAAGTCACAGAGCTATTTTTCTTTATGCAACATATTCTAAAGAAAATAAAAATGTCACCTCCTATGCGCTCATAAACCACATTATAACTCTATTATTATTTTTTAGGTCGGAAAATTACGATTTTATATTATGATTATATGAACCTGTGATCTAGCGAGTCCGTGGAAGGTGCACCGCGATGTGTCCGTGGGAATACTGTGACTACATTAAAAACACAACGTGTGAACACGAACACGCTGTGAGGCGATAACAGGGAAGCTTTGATGTTTTGCTTTGTGTGTTGCCATGGAAACATGTGTGTCACAGCCCCACAGCCGCTTATTATCATTACAGACAGGATCCTGTCAAAGCCCACGAACACAGCTCCAGATTGTTCCAGGATGTGTGAAGAAAACAAATCCAAGATTAATCTCAGGTTTTCCACATCATGAATCAAAGAATCTAAAAATAAAGTCAGAGCGCTGCTGTGGCTTTATTACATGAATTGGACACCTGCTGGAGCTGGCTGCTCCGGTCTCTGCACATGTCCGTGTCTGAGCTCTGACTCCAGCTCGGAGGATCCAACTGATGCTGCTCCATCTGCACTCTGCTGGGCTGTTTCTCCTGCTGCAGCTTCCATCTTCTCCTATATGTGCAGTCTGTGTCCTCTCACGGCAGCTCGCGGTGACTCCACCTGCGTGACAGCAGCTACCAGCAGACAACACGCACATCCTCTCACATCTCCAGCAGAGCTGCATTAAAATGTTGCGCTCAGTGTGCATGTCAGTGACAGCTGCGATCAGCTGAGTTATGATCTGAGATTAAAAAAACAACAACTCATATTTAAAACTGTCTCCTGAAGAAAACCATCTGTGTAACAGGCAGAGACGTTATACACAGTGTTACAGGTAACGATAGGATGGCTGTAGACATTATTATTATATTATTATTATTATTATTATTATTATTATTATTATTATTATTATATTATTATATTATATTATATTATATTATATTATTATTATTATTATTATTATTATTATTATTATTATTATTATTATTATTATTATTGACATGTGTAATTATAATCTGCACCATTATGATAATAATGATTTCATAAATAAAGGTTTAACTGGGTCTCCTGTAGGCTGCGCTGTCAACACAGCACACGGTGGTCACATGACACCTCATCACTCAGCTGATAATAAATAAATAAAAACAAATAAGTAAATAAAACTGTAGCTGATCCAGAGCCTGAACTATGGAGCAGGTTCATCATATCCAGGATTTCTCTCTGGTTTCTAACACACATCAAGGTTCAGCATGAACGTAGTGTCGATGCATCGATGGGTCCCGTTAACTGCTGTGGTTTTACACACACGTCAATATTTTATATAACAGAGAAGAAAAAGAAGACAGCGTGTTCTGGACTGTGAGGTCCCTCAGAGTTCAGTCCTGTCTTTCAGGTTAAACACACAATTTGTAACGTTCATTCTCTAAAAGCTCTCTGGGCTCTGCAGGTACTGTGACCTTCAGTCCACTGTGTGCTCTGTGGAAGAAATCCACAGCATGCTGCTGTTTGTGTGTCTTCACGGTTTCCCAGCATGCCCTGGTTGTGGTGGTGGAGGTGAGTGAAAGTTTAAAGTCTGTCACTGCACTGATGTGAACTCACAACGAGGCCGATCCCAAAACTGTCCACAGGATAAATTCAAAGTGCAACAGCAGCATCAGGCTGAGCTGCTACTTACTGCATAATGAACACAGACCTCGTTGATCCAGGAACTGAGGTCAGTTTGTACATTTTGTCTTCACTCCTCTCGAGGATCGCTGACCCGCATAGATGCAAGATTACATTCACCTCCAGTGTGAGTCGCTGGTTTCGACTGTGTGCTGAAGATGCTTCACAGCGCTGATGTCTGAGTCACTCATGGACTCTATTTTTCTAAAATACAAATAGATGTAGCTCCTGCAGTGGAAAGACTCAGACTGAAGTTTAACAAACACAGTAAAATTTTACATCTGCATGAAGAGAACCTGTGTCAGACCAAAGCTTTGCTGCTGGGAGCTGAGATAAGCTGATGAAGTTAAAATGAAAATAAAAAATGAAACTTGAAGGCTAAAACATGTGCTGCATATAAATATGCATAAAGATGAAACGATTAAAACATAGATGAGAGTTCAGGAGAATCACCACAGCAGCTCAGACTGATGAAGAGCAGCGAACACTGAAACTGGTGCTTCTTTATCTCATATCAGCTCTCGGTGGTTTCCTGCCACAGACAGACAGCAGAGGCCGAGAGGAACGTTTGATTTGTGCGTCAGCAGCTGCAGAGGAGCGTCCGAGTGTTTAACGGCATCTGTGCTGGTGTCGACTTCACAGGAGGATGAAGATGCTGCTGTTGCTCCTGCTTCTCCTCATCGACGGTAAGAAACTCTCTGAAGTCTGAATGCAGGTTGTTTGCACTCACTGCAGGTTGATGATCATGTTTATTACAAGGTTTGTACGCTCATTAGAAACATGGAAGTCTTGAAAGTTTTGGAGAAAAGATGGAAACGTGGCTCACAGGTCCATGTGTGAAGAAGTTTGATATGGTGTGTAACCCTCTCTGTGTGAGTTCGGCTCACACATCCTGCTGACCTACATATACTGAAACAGCGTTAAGTAAACCTTGTTCAGCTGTTACGTGGCTCTTTGTGCTTCAGCTGTTTAAACAGATTCTTTGTCCTGTATGAGCTGATTGTTTAGTGCTTTAAATCTAAACTTAAAGTGATTTAACTGAGGCACCGTTTTCCCCCCTTAATCACTTAGAAGCTGCACTTTGTGTTTACTTGTGTTATCTTTCTCTAATATCTGAATTAGTTTGATGATGTGAAACATTTAAAAACATACAAAAACAGGGAAACTAGGAACAGGAGAAACACTTTTGCACCTGAACAGAGGTTTAAAGAGCCATGAGTCAGCCTGAAGTCTGGTTAGAGCTCAATCTGAGCTCTGTTTGTTGCTCCAACCAGAAACTTTCATTGAAATCTGTCAAACATCAACGCAGCGACTGACTTGAGGCAACACAAGATTTTAGGCTAAATCAACTGTCTTCTGTTTTAAAGCTGTAATAGATTACTTTTTAACTTCATGAAAATTGTCATGTTTGCACTTTGCAACAGTGAAAGAAAAAACAGAATTTAGATGCAAATGAATCTGAAAGTGGTTAGCACGAGTCTTCATAGGTACTGGTGGATATGCTCTGTTAGCTGGCACGGTGGTTGCATGAACAGCATCAGACTGTATCAGGTCACAGTCAGTGGTGAGGTTGTTACTCCAAAAAGTAATCTATTACTTACATTACTTACATTATTCCTTAGTGTTCATAAAAGTGTTGCATTATGCTAATTACTGAAAGTAATTCATAATTACTATACTGAAAATATGTTCTGTTTCCTGGCGCTTGCTTGTCCTCCTGTTTCCGCGATCCTGCGTGAAACAACAAATGCAGCCGTAAGAAACCTTACACAAGCTGCAGACCACACACTTCACAACGGCTTTGTGTACTGATTGAGCCGACGGTTTGTCACGGAACGATGGGCGCTCAGCCACTCTCCTAATTAGCTCCCCCAGACGAGGCTGATCAGCAGCAGGCGTGTGTCATCATCCATCACCCTCATTAGTGAGGGTAGCGGGACACCCTCACTAGGCCTGACGGTGCCTGTAAACCAGCCTACAAGATACCCCCCGCCCCGATTCCTTTGTTAGCATTTTAGCATTTTCACTTTTAATCCTTTTTCTCTCTGCTTGTGTTTGTAAATGTTTTCCTTTTATCCTCTGGCCCTTTTACACTTTACTTCCTGTTTTACTTTGAAGATTTCTGTTCCTTTCCTGTGCTTTCCTGTTTGATGTGCTTGTGTTTAGCATCTTTGGATGATGGGCTTCCTCTCCAGTTTAATTCATGTTGCATGAATGAAAATGAATTCAACATTTGTAATCATCATTCTGTCTGCTCTGACGTCTGTAAGCAGGTCTGATCATGATTATTACCTCAAACATGACACACGGTGTCTCTCTATATGTCCTCACAGTTTCCCAGCATGCCTCTGGTGTGGAGCTGTATGAGGGGGACTCGTTCATGCTGCCCTGTCAGTTTGACACTTTCGATCTGACTGACCCCTCAGTGGTGTGGAGTCGCTCCGACCTCAGTCCTCCAACCGTCCACCAGCGTCAGCTTCAAGGAGACGAAATGAAAGATCAAAACCAGCGTTACAGCGGCCGAACATCCATGAAGACTGACGCTCTGGAAACTGGAGAGCTCAGCCTGAACCTGACCAACCTCCAACTGTCTGACAGCGCCACCTACACCTGCTCCATCAGAGACTTTGGAGATGAACTGAGTCGGAGTGATGTGCAGCTGCAGGTCAAAGGTCAGCAAGAAGCTTCAGCGACTGCTGTTGATAAAGATTACATCACTGAAAGTAGTCTTTACTTTACAATCAAAGGACTTTGTTGGCTCAATACAGCTTAGATTACATGGACTCAGAGGTCAAAGGTCACACTGTTTGTTGTCTGTCTTTACAGAGCAGTGGTCATACTGGGAGCCTCTCGTGTTTCTCCTGGTTCTCGTCCTTATAGTTTCCGGGGTTCTTTTATTTCATTTCTGTCACTATTTCATGTCAGGTGAGTGTCTCCTACTATACTACCCATAATGCCGATGGTTAGCAGGTGTCCTTTGGTGGCTCCTTGACTGTGATCCACAAATTTGTTCCAGAAGCTGAAAGAGTTGAGAGTTATGAAGTGAACAGGCAAATATCCCTGAGCTTTCTCCTGAGTGTCAGAATCCGATTTCCTCATTCCGACTACGAAGCGTCAGATTCAGGGTTTGACCTACGATAAGAGCGCTGCTGAAAGAGGCGTGGTCCAGATCTGCTTCTAAACAAACTCCAGATATAAAAAACTTCCTTGATGGTGTGTAAGTGTGATCAGCTACCACATCTATGCTGTAAGTCTGAGGTAGCTAACAGCATAGACGTGCACAGTCAGTACCAGCTGCAAACTAAGCGCGACATTCATGTAAATCCTCTTTGTGGCGCTGAAGTTGGTCACATGGTTTGTAGTTCACTTGGAACAAACCAACCCATGAAAACACGTTTACAAAGCTGTCAGCTGATCCAGAGCAGAGTGACGCAGCTACAGGTGTCCCACAGTGATCCAGAGGACACAGTCTGGTCCTCTCTGTCATCACTGAAGTCAGAGGACTCAGTGGAAACATGAGTGAAGAGCTGCTCACACAGCAGAGTGGACTCACTGACATCTGTGTGTGTGACCTCTCTGTTTTCCTCTCACTTCTTCAGGCTGTGAACGTGAAGACGGGGATGCTGACGTCCTGTAAAGCACAGCTGACCTTCATCAGGACGTCACAGAGGAGACGCTCTACAAACACACAAGGATCCACACACAGACACACCTGCCTGACAAACTGCTCTTAGTGCATCATCACGCACACGGGATGTGATTTGCAGTGTCAAGAAGTCTTCAAGCGACCAATGAGAGCACAGGATACGACTGACTGACCTCTGGTAGGAACCACAGGCGTGGACACAGGCACACACCTCACAGCAGCTGATGCTTTCTGCCTCTCTGTAGACGGAGTGTGTTTACTTTTGACAGCAACAATCAGATACTACAGCAGTCAGGTGAATTTAAAGGTTTTTCTGTGAGTAAACTGACTACAGCGGCTACAACGCCGTCCTTTGTTAACGTTGTTGGTCCAGAAACTTTCTGTTCACTCAGAACCTGAAATAAAGGCGTCCACATGAACATCAGAGCCTCTGGTTTTTATCCCCACTGACATCAAACAGACACAAACACTGAGTCACTAAGACGGAGCGTGTTCAGATCAGATGTGTAGGCAATGATATGATGGTCCCGTCTCCTCTCAGGTGGAGGTTGTTCCCACTGCTGTCCTCTCCTGCATTTCTACCTCTGTAAAGATTACGAGCTCTACGATAAACGTGCCCTCATGCTTCTCAGTTAACAATTAACTCAAATGCAGCATCAACCGTATTTTTTACCCTCGTAACAAAAAGGAATAAAGTGTTTTTTCTTTGCTTAATAATCACAGCTTTACTGTGTTATGATGTAAAATAAAACTAAAGTCTAAATACAAGAACGTCATTTTAGAATAACTCTCTCTTCATTGATGATGCTGAGCTTTTATACTCATTACCAAAAACCTCAGAGAAATAAAAACACATAAGCCTGGAGCTTCAGTGGTTAAACAACATTTAGTATGTGTGAGTCTGATGAGCAGCTCTGACATGAACCATCACTCCTCCACGTCCAGCACTGTGGTGAAAGCTGTGGACTGTGGACTTTCAGTCACGTATCAGCTTCCTGTCACACACGAGGACTTCCTGTTAAGGTCAAAAGTTCCTCTATCAGCAGTTTGTGCATCGCGAGCCTCCACCCGAGTGTTTCAGATGGTGATGCTTCTGGGTACCGAACATAACACAGGAGATTGAATAAAGACGCTGACGTCCCAACTGTGCAGGCGTCCTTTGACTTTTCTCATTTACACAATTTTAATCACTTTGTGACTGTTTGTCTTGAAATTTCATCTCTTATGAGGTGATCAAGCTTGATTACACTTAATAAGAACATGTGAAGAGTGAAAGGATGGAGGAACAGAGCGAAGTGTCACAGTCTGTTTACATGTTTAGGGATAAAATTGTTCCAATGACAGAATATGTTTCTATACGTTTAATGGAAGAAATCACTTTATTAATAATAGATGACTGGAGATGGTGCACGCCTGTTATACTGTTACAATCCCTGTTTACATGGATGAATATGGATATATTAATAATGTTATTTTATAATAATAAAAAAAAGAAATAAAAAATCATGGCACAGTCTTGTGCTTGCTGCAAAAGATAAAATAAAATTCTGCACAGATAAATTTGAATTAAACCTTTTTTTTTTTACACTTGTTCTATTTTTCACAGCTGGTACAAATTAGAATTACAGGCGACCGCTTCTGGCCCCCAGGCCATATGTTTGACACCATCATTTATACACAGGTGATGTTTCTACTCTGATATAAATGCTGCGTCCTGTTATTTATTGCTCTTCCTGTTGGAGCCCAGTCACTCTGACATGTGTGACTGTACATGCTGGCTGTGTGTTGGCCAGCTGTCGCTGTCTCACAGCAGGACTCGGAGGATCCAAGTGATGCTGCTCCGCCTGCACTCTGCTGGTCTGTCTCTGCCCCTCCCCCTTCCATATGTCGCAGTGAAGCCTGTAGCTCCACCTACGTGACAGCAGCTACCAGCAGACCACACGTCACTCAGCTGAGTTACCTTCAATTTTTCAAACGGTTTCCTGCACGAATCGAAACATGTTTGTATTTACTGATTAATGTATTAACTGAATTATTTACGTTTTTTCCCATAAGTAATAATTTCCCATAAATAATTCCCAGAGTGAGTCAGCGGTGTTTATCATATTTATTATCATCACTATGACTACGAGTTCTTACAAACGTTATTGGACAGCTGAAAGCAGCATGGCTGTAGTGCTCATTATTTTAATGATAACATAATTATAATAATTATTAATATTAAATATTAATAATCAGATGAACACTGACCCTGTTGGCATCCGTGTTGTCCAGAATAAATAGCACAGAGCGGACAGACGGCTGTGTCTCCTCTAATACCCGCACTGGTCACCGATGTTTCTGGCCTCATGCTTGTGTTTAACAGCCTCAGAGTTTGGACGTGTTTGTCTGATTTTGTATCATCACGTTTGTTCTACACACGGCTAGAAGCTGGGATAGCGTTAGATATGGATTTTAATTCAGTAAAATATCTATATATCTACATACATATATATTAAATAAAAATACTACATTTGTTTTCCATCTTTATAAGAGGTTAAAATTTAGCACCTTTTTATTGGTTAATTCTGACCAATCCCGAGAGCTCATTTCATAAATCTTTTGTGAGATATTCACAACAGAAGCTTCAGTGGGAATAAAGAAAGAAAAGGCTCCTCTTTCATAAACGTTATTAATGAATAAATGTCTTTTTCTTGTTTTTCTTTTTCGGTATGAATATTTTCTTCATGTGAGTAACGGAGTGAGGATGACGTCACTTAGCGCTGTAAATGACATTTTCTGTTAAAAGTAGAAGAAAGTAGAGCCCGTGGGGGTCAGAGCTGAAGCCTCTTCCTGTTTTCTCTCCTCCCTGACAGCAGAGACGAGCTCGCTCTCTTTCTCTGCTGGTGGGCGTGAACGAGGCTCACCCACCAGTCTGCATGGAGTAATTCTTCCAGTAAGATGTTCATATATTATTTATAAATATACATAATGTTAATGTGATTAAAGTCTCCACGATCCACAGCAGGAATAATCACGAGAGGATGTTATTTTCTTTTAAACAGGCGCGTGTAATGAAAAGAAGCGGTAACATCAAAAACAGCCACGCGGTGTTTTAAAGCAGTGTTTCCAAGGCCGTGACGTGAAATAATAATTCCACATAAACGAAATAAGTCCACAGTAACGAGCCTGTTGTAAGGAGCAGAAAGGTCGGCGGCACAAGCCACGCTCCCACACCTTCCTAGCTGTTGAGTAATGAGGTGTCACGTGACAACAAGCTGCCACGGGTTATGTGGAACTTCTCCTTCTGTGTAGAGCTCACAGTACAGCCTACAGGCACACTGTGATTATTATTAATTAAAGTATTATTATTGCATCATGATTTAAATAATGAGGATGCCTCGTTCTGTTTCCTCTGAGGCTGATGTGCCATGTGGAGCAAACATGAACATAATGTTTACAGCATATCTTGTGACTGGAAATAGTTTGCACTGTTTATATATTTATATTATTTACTGCAGGTATTGGTGAAAAAGCTTTATGTTGTGAAAAACTGAAATTAGAATAGTTGTGCCTTATTTTGTTGATGTTTTTACATGTATTCCTTTTGAAAATACTAAAATTTGTATATTTATTTATTTTTGTTTGTCTGATTACATTTATTTAAAAAATAAATCGGACATTTCAAACAGTTACTCGCTACTTGAGTAGTCTTTTCGCCAAGTACTTCTTTACTCTTACTTGAGTACAATTTTTGGATAGTCGACCCACCTCTGATTATATCATGATTTAAATAATGAGAACTACAGCCGTGTTATTATCAGCTGTCTAACAATGAGTAACGACTCGTAGTCATGGTGACAATGTTACAAACGATAAACAGGCTGTTAAATGAGCTGTTGACTCTGGAGGGCAAAACCAATCATGAATCAATAAACACAAAGATAAATTCGATTTGTTCAGGAAACAGTTTTAAATATGAGAGGTGCTTTTTCATCTCTGATCATAGTCAAAGGAGCTTGCAAAGAACTACGATGACCTGGATGACTGAGAACCTTCACAGACATATCTCTGATCATAACTCAGCTGATCGCAGCTCTGCTGTTTTAATGAGGTCTCTTCACGTGGACGTGGGCTCGTGTTCAGACATCCTGGAGATGTGACAGGAGGTGCATGTTGTCTGCTGGTAGCTGCTGTCAGGCAGGTGGAGCTACAGGCTTCACTGAACCATATGGAAGGAGGAGGAGAGACTGAAGGAGGAGGAGGAGACAGGCCAGCAGAATGCAGATGGAGCAGCATCGCTTGGATCCTCTGAGCTGGAGTGAGACGCGACAGCTGGCCAGCGCACAGCCAAGATCTACAGTCACACATGTCAGAGTGACTGGACTCCAACAGCTAATATAAATGCTGTGTTCCAGGATTTATGCAGTATTCATATTTGTGATGTTTTTGTAACAAAACAAAGCCCCACAGAGGATTCACACAGTTTCTATTAGAACAGATTTCAGGCTCTACTTAATTTTATTTTTGTAGGAGATCAAACCGTCGACTGTCTCTCAGTGTTGTTTATTGACTTTCAAACATACGGCCTGGGGACCAGAAGCGGTCGTCTGTAAGTCTAATTTGTACCAGCTGTGATGACATGACAGAATAAAGTTACGTTGAAACCAAGCACACCCTTGTTTGTCTTGTGACATTTCAATAAGTCTGATGTGTCACATGGCCCTCTGCCTATTGAAAAAGCAAATGTTGTTTTCCAAGATGGCCGACTTCTAAATGGCCACCATGGCCACCACCCATCTTGAGGAGTTTGCCCCTCACATATACTAATGTGCCACAAACAGGACTTTAATATCACCAACCATTCCCATGTTATTACGCTGTATCCATACAAATGGCCCACCCTGTATTTATTGTGTCATTATGTGCTGTAAAAAACAAGAACAAGAGGATTTTAACAAGCTTTAGAGGGGAAAACCTCCCACTGTGCACCGGAAAAACAAGAACAGGTGAAAAGTATTTTGAGAATACAGAAGTTGTGGTGGTGGGTGGTGGGGGGCGGGCTCTACAGGAGGGACACAGTTGCCCCCCCTTGTCCCCATAGATCCACCCCTGTTTGAATAATCCAACAGTTGTTAAAAAAAAAGGTCAATTGACTTTTAATTATATGTTTTTTTGCAACAAACAGTTATTTTTTAAAGAAAGGATAAAATAACTTTAATAATATTTGCATAGTTATAGATATTCATACGTGTAAACAGTGATTGTAACAGTCAGTGAAACAGGCGTGCACCAGCTCCAATTCTTCTATTATTAATAAAGACATTTCTTCCATAATTAGAAACATATTCTGTCATTGGCACGATAGTTATCCCTAAATATTAGGGGTGCAACGATACTCGTATCGATGTTGAACCGTTCGATACA